AAACCCCAAAACCCCAAAACCCCGTTGAAGATTTAATTGGCAGATTAGGTGAATCGTTTAAAAATAAATCCATAAATTAAGCTTGAGAGCTTAACTCTTATATCTTTGATCTTTTGTAGAAATCATCTGTAATCATCCGGATGATAACTTCTATTTATTCAATAGAGCAAATATGTTTCTACTTCAGCAAGCTAGTAGTATTTTTCTCCAGCAAGGAATGACTTAGCCTAATCAGTATCTTTATAAATACCTGGTGGCAACTAGTAGTAGGTACCTAGTGATGAGAATTAGAATGTTGGAGTATTAAAGTCGACTTCCAAGTCAAATGATCCAAACATAGGAGATAGTATATAATTTAGTCTAGCAATGTAAACAGTTTGATTTTGTAAAGGTCTCAATACAGCATTGTTGTCAACACTGAAAATATAAGCTGCTTCTTATCCTTTCCAATTATAATCGCTGGACCAACTTAAGGGGTTATATCCTCCGAACACGAAACCTTTGTTGGACTTTACTATAATAAGTGAAGGTCCTCTATAGGCACAGCTTTAGTTGAATATTGAGTTGTTGAATCCATCTCTTGTAGCCCTGTGACATAATTATGAATTTGAGTAGTTTTGAGATAAATTTCCTCTGACAAAGTTTATAGAAGAAGAGTTAAGAATGACACTATCATTGAACAATGATAGTGAAAGTGGATCAGTGGTATTTGAAGTAGCATTATTATCTGAGGTACCACTGTTTTCTCCATCTGTACTTCCACTGTTATTTGCTGGTTAATCTTGAGTGGTGTTAGAAGATGTATTGTTATTTGAAGTGTTGTTAGTAGAATTTTAGCTTGTGGTATTATCAGGAAGATTTTAAACAGGTCCATCAATTCTTACTAGTTCCTTTTAAGCCAAACCTTGTGTAGATATTTTAATTTTTCCATTAGATTGAAGTAGAACAACTGAGATCTCATTATAAGCAGCGACTTAAACTCCAAAAGCATCTCTAACTTTGTACCATTTTGAAACTGAGTCATCCCACTTAAGAAGTTGTCTGTTATTTCCAGTTTAATCGAAATCAGAGCAGCTCAAAGCCCAGAGACTTCCATCAGCTCCTGCAGTGACTTGATGTACACAAATGTTTCCATATCCAATTAGTCTTGAGTTAGTATCAACAAAGATTGGAGTTTCTTAGTTCACAATGAGGTCACTCACCACATCATTTTTGTAGTAGATGTATTTTCCAACAGGAGAATCATACCATTGATTCAACTTGCCCTTTGAACTTGGCTTAGTATCATAGATACAATGCAGCTTTCCTGAGTCTGATACTGCAAATTTCTTGATTCCTGGAAGAGTCTAGCTACTTGCAGAGCTAGCTAATTAATTTTATGATGAGAGATGGTATATGATTCCAGATTGATCGAGCTGAACATCAACTGTATTTTCCATGTCGGAATAGCCTGGTAGCCAGTAGGTTTTAGTTGTATCAAACCATCTCACTATTGAATAGCTTGTTTCATTTAAGACGGCATAGATTCTTCCCCTAGAAGATACACCAATCTTTTATATGGGTTTATTGATCCCTAATTTTGAAAGAGTTTTCCATCCTAATAAAGTGAGTTTATCATTACTCCAAAGTGTTTATCTTTGGTGAAATTGAATATCTGAAGGTCTAGAAAAAGCCTAAACTGCAACATAAGCTGCTGCAAGAGCAACTAAAGTTGAGACTAGAAGCTTTCCTCTTGAATTTGAAGACTTCTTTTAGGTTTTATTAAGCAACTCAGCTTCGATTAGTTTGTATTGATCCATCTTTAAAAGTTATGTAAAATATCTTTGACTTTTTAGATATAAGATTTAGTATGCTAAAATACTCAAATTATGAAATCATTAATATTTTGGATAATACTTAAACGTTTATTTTGATTCTACTGTTATCCTATTACTTTCTGAGAAATTACATTCAAATTTGGTGTTATGGGGTTTTGGGGTTTTGGGGTTTTGGGG